AGTTGTGTTTTTTCAATTTTTTCTTGTATAGTTTCTTAGTAGTTAGTATGAAAAGTCAAGCAACTGATGATTACATTAAATAGTTGGTAAGTATTATCAATACTTTAAAATATTTTATCTTTATGACTTCTAATTTATATTTCATTTTATGTAGATTTGAAGGTTTGAAGCAAATGAATTATTGATATGAATCATCGAAATTTTATTAGTAATATTTACTTTTTTGTATTTATATTTGACAACTTATTATTGATATGTTATTAAATTAGATTACGTTAATTTGTAAAAGTTAAGATTGAACTTGATATTTNTTTAATTATAATACGGAACCGAATCGAACCGAACCGAAACCGAACGGTTCCAAAATTATATTTGGAACAGACGGTTTCATTTACTAAATATCCGAAAATTTCTGGAACCGAAAAATACCGAATCGAACCGAACCGAACCGACCCTCGCCCACTCCTAGGGAACCCCACAAAAAACTCGTCATTAAGCTCAATAAAGGTTTAATTTCAATTCTATTTTTCTTCAATTTTGTTCTGATTGTGAAATTTCATTTATGGATTTAATTACTGCAAACTTCTGCCGAGCACCACGGAGAGACACAGAGATCTCTCAGTGGTGCACCTCCCTAGATCAGATATCTCCACATCCATTTTCCATTTCCCTCGTAAAATTCATCTTCCTTCCCCAATTTTACTTCCCTTTTTTCTTACCCCAAACCCTTCAACAAAACTCCCAATGATTCTTGAATATCCAAATAACAAAAAATTCTGTATTTGTTACACTCTTCGATCTTCAAGAAAAGATTTATGAATCATGCAACACCACAACTCACAGAAGCAGAATTTGAAGAGACCGCTACCATTCACTTCCCCAAAGCCGCCATTTGGAGGTGATTACCACCGTTTCGATGCTGATTATGATTGAGGAAAACCTAATCAAGATGATGATCAAGTTGTTGTTGTGAAGAATCCTCCTGTAAGTTTTCATTTTCTGATCTTCGTTATGCTAATTTATCTATTTACTCATTTTCTTCTTTAGTTTATGGAGCTGTAATTGAATTATAATTAAGAGACTTCAGCTTGTGTAGGATTATGTTTCATACGGCGTGTTAAGATCTGTTCTTTTCCTGGATATTGGAAACAATTTATAAGTTAAGTTCAAATTTATGGTAACCATATAGGGGTTTCCAATATATGAAGAATCAAGTATTGTTATATAAAAACCTTGAATGAGTTGGAATTGAATTAGCAAATTTGTATGGATTGTAAGGGTTTTGACATGTTTCATTTAGCTTGTATTCGTTAATCTTCCATTTTTCCTATTGTATTTGAAGTGGTTTTGATTTCAATTCTTCTGGAGATGAGGGTAAGCCTAATTCTAGCATCTGGGCATGTCTTTTTGTGCAATAGAAATAATTGGTTTTCTTCACTTTTGCGTGAGAATTTGAATATCCCATGTGTGCCTGTTTCTGCGTTTTTATTGAGTTCGCAGGCTGCAGTTGAGAAATCCACTTCTGATGGGCTCACGGTTGAGGGTATAATTGTTAATGTTTGGAACATATATGATGAGAATGAGAGTGATTGGAAGAGCCATGCATCTGCCATAGCTCAGTCAATTCATCTTATCAAGACACGCCTGGGGGTACTGCAACACATCCACAAAATGTTTCCATATGTTATTTGGTTTGTCATTTTCTCTTAATCTGAATGAGACTAGGTTCATTGACACTCTGATGATTTGGACTCAATCTTACTAATGTTCTGTGTTTAGATTTTTTGTCCAATTGTCTGGATGTTTCAAATGCAACAATTTGTTTTTGGTTAGTTGCCACATTAGATGTTTCAAACGCAATAATTGCAAAGAATCAAGCAAAACTTCTAAAAAAGAAAAAAATTCCTTCAATCATGATCTATGCATCATCAAAAATGTGAGGCACCCAACACCAAACGCCACAATCGCTTTCTCTTCAGGCATTAACAGATGGAGACCGCAAAACTGAAGTAACGAATGTTATAAAAAATCAGTTTCCAACTGTCTGTCCGAGACCCATCTCGATTTAACTGTTCCTGGGCTCAAATCCAAAACCAGATGCAAGGTAATTCTTCTTTTCTCAAGCAGTCATAATTTTTGTTCAAGAATCTACTAGGAACTTCTTCTTTGGCTTCCGAGTTAAATTATTTGAAAAGATTGATTCTTTATGGGGATTAAGGGTTTAGAGTAAACTCCATTTTTGTCAAAATTAGAGAGCTAATCAGGGGACCAAGGAATTGTCACTGCTTCTGTTGTACACGTTGTTAAGCCCTTCCATTTGCGTCAGATTTGGTACCAACCTACCTCCAAAATCACACATTTTTATTTTTACTGATCCAATTTTCTTGTTGCATCAATTTTCCCTCATCAGTGCTAATTCCTCCTTCATGTTCTTCAAGAATTGAGGAACAGAAGTATTGATTCATGGCGTGCATGAAACTGGGCTCGAAATCTGAAGCATTTCATCGCGATGGCCAATCTTGGTAAGCCAAAAACCACTCTAATTTAGCCCAGTTTAATTTCTTTACTATTGTCAATTATTAATGATTATGGCCCTTATGGAACGAGTGAAATTGTTTGGGTGGAGGGAGTCAGTGGATTTGGTTCAGAATGTGTGGATTTACTGTATTGTTTAATCTTTTATTATAATGTTTACCCAAATGAAATTTTTTGAATGTGAAGTGAACTGAAGAGATATACCCTTCAGACATTACTTCAATGAGAGATTGCAATATTTTATGTTCTTCATCAAGGTTGAAAGTTAGGGTTTTGTTTCATATTTGGTAGTCCGTATATGAACTTCTTAAAATTGTGCTTATTGCTATAAAATTCTTTGACTCTTATAGAATGTGGAATTTAGGCATCTCTTTTTGGATGGTGCCTTAAGATGTGTGGTTAGCAATTTTCTCATTGGTTTTCTAATAGATAACCAACTTAGTTAATGTTTATCTTGGATTAAAAATTGTGTAGTATGTTTCTGCCACAACATTGTGATTAATTCCTGTCTTGAAATAATTTGGCTGCATTCATACAGCCATCTTACTTCGTTCCGTGAAGCTTCTCGTGTGATCCGTGCAGGCATTGTACATTTGGCCTCCAGAGTGACGTCACAGTTGAAATTGGAGAAATGTCCTTTCATCTTCACAAGGTGTACACTTGAGCTTTTGAGGCCTAATTCGTGTTTTATTTGCAGCATGAGTTACTAATAGCACTGTTAAATGAGATAATTTTCTGTTAATTAGTCACTGATCATATGTAAATTTACTTTGTTAAATAAAGTTCATTTTCCTAATTTCATTTATTATATATACGCTAACATAACCTCAAAAATAAGACAGTCCATGCATTGCATGTGTCAAAACTAGTATATCTAAAAAGGGTAATTATATTACAACTACAAATTTTTATTACGACACCACATTATAATCACACCACAATTAAAATATAGTTTTAATAAATACACCACAATAAATTTACAATTATAACCCTAATTCAATAAAAACAAAAAATAATAAAATATTGTGGTGTACTTATTACCAATATTAATCCTCATTTTCTCAACATTTCCCCTCCTTATTTCGCAGCCACTAGAAACAGAAGATGTGAAGGTTTCTGATCTCGACCTTAATAGGCTAAATGTACCCTCACTATTTCACAGCCACAAGAAAGGCTGATGCAAGTGATACGGCTAAAACCGGAGTCTTGGTTTTTGCTTTGGGTTTCATTTTTCTGGTGAAATTTATGTTTTTGTCTGGTAATTTGTGAGGTGGGGTGGGTGAACGATGGGGCAACTCAGTACAATTCTGAGTTTTGAAATTTCTGACATGAACAAAAGATTAATTACCAAATTTTTTTACCATTTTTGAATCCAATTCACCTGAGAAGTCATTGAACGAGACATTCAAGGACTGAAGATAACCTACAGGTGGAAAATCAGCAGGAAAATTTCCAGTCAATTTATTATTTGAAACATCAAGATATTTCAAATGTGAGAGACTTGAAATGGGCTTTAAATTCCCAGAAATATTGCAACTAGAAATATTAAAAGTCTCAAGATTGGTTAAGTTGGTGAACCGCCAATCAGCGCTCACTCGCTCTTCTTTTGCAGTTCTTGTTAATTGAACGTTTGAAGCCAAATTGATTGAGGAATTGGGATAAAAATTTCTCTCCGCGCAATTTTTGTTTAAATGTTTGAAGCCAAATGATGAATTCGGATTTATAATCTCACGATGGTCGTCTGAGACAAGATTTCTTGTCGCCGTTGATGCAGTTATAATCCAATTTCTCTGATGGTTTCTTCAATAAAGACGGATGGAAGTGGTATTGTGGTGCCATGGGAATTGTGGTGTGTATAGGAATCAAATAAGATGGATTTAATTTACAAAAAAATAGAAAGAAATAATTAAGAGGTTATTTACGTCATTTTATTAATGTTCAGTTTTATAAATCAAAAAAATATTTAAAAATGTGGTGCCACAAAAACTTTTTGTGGTGACAATATAATTACCCTTTTTGAAATTTTGCACAAAATTTTCAAAATATTCCTTAACAGTTTTCAATTTAGCGCCACATTTCAATTTTTTTAAAAAAATTTGCCCACAGAACTCTATAATTTTAGCTCTGCTCTTAGTCCCACATAATAATTGTGTTCTTATTTTAGAAACATAATATATAAACATGATGACAGTGATGGTCATACTGAATGGGGATTGTTTTGTTTAATTTTGTTATTTGTAAACGAATATAAAACCTACTTTATTTAATACTATACATAACGAAGTTTAATAGGGAGGAAAAGTAAAGCCGTGATGAAAGTCTTTGAAAGCAAGTGAAGTTTTGATGTTAAAGCATGAAATTTTTATGGCATATTGAGCATTTAAGTTGGATTCGTGTAGAGTCAAGATGTTATCACGTGTTAAATATTTATTTTTGTTACTTGCAATGTCAGTTGTACTGAAGCAAATTATTTTGTTTTATCATATTATTCGTAAGATGGGCACGCAAGAGAATTAATGTATGCTATTTATTTGGTTTATCTAAATAAGTTATCATATTGATGATCGTATACTTTTTGGAATCTAAAATTTAGAAGATACTAATCCGTGTCAAGAAACGAGTATGTAACCCGCTTTAGTTAATATTTTAACGTAATGACTGATACAATAATATTTTGTACTAACATTTAAGATTTGACAAAACACTTAAATATAAAAGAAAATTGAAATACATAGATTTTGTCAGAGGAAATTCTGCAATAGTATCAAAATAAAATTTATTTTCGATATACATTTAGATTTAGAAAATTATTTTTATGGTAAATTCATGCATTAAAGATATTTAATAAACAAATGTTTTGGTTTGCTTAAAAAATGCTTATTATTAATTGGGTTCATTACTTTTTTGCTCAAAATAAACAAATAGTAAGTCCCACGTAGTTATAATGCTTCATGTTAGGTTTTAGTTGATTTTGTAATTGGCAAATTCTGAGGACAAAAGGATTTAATTTGATAAAGTGTCAAAGTTCAAGCAGTAATGTGCAATTTGTTTAAAAGTTAGTTAAATAGGTCCAGGGTTTGGAGTTTTGCACAAGGAAGAAAACAGCGCGAATTTTCTCTAGATTATCGCTAAGGGTTGGCTCGAGCTACAAAAACAGAAACTGCATCGTTAGACTATCGCCCCTCCTTTCAAGCGACAGCTTTATACGGAAAATTTTATTTTCGAGTTTTAAAAGCTTTTGTCTCGGCCTATTGATTTCTTGACGTATCTATATATACTAGAACACGTATAGAACGTTTTTCTTAAGGTTGAAAACTGAGAGAACAGATTAGAGAGTGATTCCTCCATATCATATTATTCAACCTTCATCTTGTATGGGTATTTTGGTTAGAAAAATATCAGATTCAACATCCAAATATCAAACCACAACTTCCTATATATCTATCAAATGTGCTGAAGATCGAGGAAGGCGATTGGAGTTTCAATCCGTGAAGAACAGGTTGTTTTTCGTGATCCAGAGGATATAGGCGATTCTACTAAGCTAGGGGCTGCTGTAGGATATTGGAGTTCCGGGAGAGCATTGGTAATTGCAGCTGGAATTGGTGGAGGGGAGCATAGAATTCAAGATAGCTGTCAGAATTACAGTTAAGAGATCAGATAGTTCATGTTATCATCTAGTTTGGTAGACTGTAAGTACAAAATCGTTTATAGTAGATTGACTGTCAAAGTACCCAGAGTTTTTTCCCAGTTGGGTTTCTTCATGATCATTCTGGTGTTTGATTTATTGCTTTACTATTCACTGTTTATTATACAACTGCGATAATTCAACTTAGGATAAACTGACGTGATTGTCTAACCATCTAGATCAGAATTAAAAAGTGACATGTTGCTGTTTAATTCGTAAAATATTTTAATTCCGCATTTTATACCTATTCACCCTCCTAGGTATTGTTAGGGCCGAACTTGCGTTTTTCACTTATAACTACGGAGTGAGTATGTAGTTCAAAATAAATAAATTTTAGGTCCCACGTATTAATTATATTCTTATTTTAGCTATTTTTGAAATTACAATATTTAAACATGACCAAATAAACAATTTGACAAGGCTTATGCTTTTTATAGAAGAGTTTTTGGAGAAAGTCACATTGAGTCTGCTTCAAAAACTTTTAGGTCATGTTTGATTGATGTTATTTTCCCTAGAACTTGGAAAAGGAATTTCATTTTCTTGGTTTTGGCTTGTTTGATTGTTACAATTTTCTAGGGAAAACTCCCCCTATTTTCCTCAAAATTGATGAAAAGCTTTTCTAGGTGTTGCTGCCCCTTTTTTTTATTGCAATAAAAATAAATTTGATAACTAGTTGTTAAAAAATTGTTCACTTTAATGGACAATTTTCATGTAAAACAAAATCAAACGAACACTAAATTTTGATTAAAAAAATGATTTTTTTAGGAATTTTTTTTTTCGTTTTTTTATTTTACTTTTTGGCAATGGAAACTTTTTTTATAATCAATTGTGGAGAAAATTATCTCTTTA